AAACCAACAAAAAGTTTCCTGGAGTTAAAAAAAAAAAAAAAAGGGAAGGAGTTGGTCAAATAAATTTGGCAAACACAGCTTACTCTGTATCTTCATTTTAAAAATATTGACACAGGCTCCGCACCTGTATTCACGGGTTAGAGTGCTGGTCACATATACAGAGGCTGGCAGGTTCGAACCTGGCCAGGCCTGCTAAACAACGACAATTGCAACAACAACAACAACAAAATAGCGGGGCGTGGGCGTTGTGACTGGCACCTGTAGTCCTAGTACTCAGGAGGCTGAGGCAAGAGAATCGCTTAAGCCCAAGAGTTTGATGTTGCTGTGAGCTGTCATGCCACAGTACTCTACTGAGGGAGACATAAGACTCTGTCTCAAAAAAAAAAAAAAATATTAACACAGTGCCTGCTTACCAAACCTTTTATAAACATTGGAGGTTTTTATTTTCTTTTTATTATTAGTGTGTATTTTGTTTTGTTTTTGATCATTACACAACACACTTCCTTGTCAATAAAATTCTTTTCAAGGATATTTATTGAAAAATTTTGGATACCTTGGTAACGGCAGGATATATAAAGTTCAAACGATTCCAGTTTTTATAAATTGCCATAAATAACCTACATAATTAATCTTCAAAAAGCCATGTAGTATTTAACAGACACTACTTTAAAAAGAGTATAAAAGATATCTTTGCTTGGACATAGAAACGATCAAACACAAATTATAAAGGTTTTCTCTGACACTGTCATTGCAAGACAGGCCAAGAGAGAAACACATTCCAGTCCTGACATTGACCTAGTTATAAATGTGGAATATGAAACATTAACCCAAATAGGAGTTTCAGACTTCACATTTATAGTAACACGGTATAAAATGTGCTTGACGAAACCAAAACTATGTCTAAATTTAAGCCTACATTCCTTAATAATGATTTTTATTAAAAGAAAGTATAACTGTGTCTATACTGTTAGCCCTTCTGTTTTCTGAGCTAGCTGATCAAAGCATGATATAAAAAGAGATGGAACAGTATAGTAATTCATGCTTTTTCTGGACTTTAGCAACCTTCAGGCCTTAGGATCCAACATGAGAAAGAAAAATGCTCCCACGATTTATCATCAAAAGTAGTTAACACGTCTTCTGGAATTTTCAAGAAACTAGCCTTCAACAGACGTACTAGCTGGAAGGCTCATGGAAAACTAAGCACATGTGAGCCTACAATAGCCCGAGCAGTCCCTTTCTAGTAGTTAGGGGAAAAAACACTGAAAACAAAAAGCATGAGGGGGATTTTTACTATGTGTTTATTTTACACCAAGCAAATGGTGTCAAGCCTAGGGCAGTGTCAATCATCAGAAATCAGTGTCTTTCTCTACCTTAAGAGAGAAATCAAATTTAAAAAGTGTATGATTCTACAATGCAAAACATTCAATGTGGATGAAATTCTGTATTTAAAATATCCAGTACTTTATCAAATTATTGACTATCCTATGATACATGTAATTACTACTTGATTGATTCTGAAGAACATCTTAATATCAGTCCAAAATTATTCTTAATTAAGAGTATGAAAAGCTAGAGACTGAAAAATCAATACCATAACTCTCACACTATACAAGACACTTAGTAAAATTAGAAAAATCAAGACACCAGTCAAAATATTTAATAATCCTCCCAAATAAAAATTTGACATAATTAACTTCAACCATTTAAAAACTTTGATTGCTAGTCTTTAAGAAGTATTGTTTAGTTCTAACAATTGGTAAGTAGCTATGATTAAGATCTGTGATTTATTTCAAATAAAACAATTATTCATTTTACAAGTACTAATTAAACACTAGTAGGTGCTCCAATTGAGCACTTTGGAACAACAGATTAAAATACATATGAACCTGCTCTATGGATATTTTAAGAGTCTAGAAGGGCTGAGTTACATATACGTATGGTAGAAAGCATAAGAAATGCATAGTCTAGTTAAACTACAAAATTACTCGAAAGACTCTCAGAATGCAGGATAGAAAAGCACTGATGATAAGGTTGAAGACTAGGCAGAACTCAGACAAAGCCAAGAGGTCTTCCAATGGAAAAAGATGAGAAAAGCAAAGAAGATGGAAAACTATAATGAAAAAATTCAATTTTGCAGAATGGAAAAAAATACAACATACTACATGATAATACAGAAGTTAGAGGTTCCAAGCTCTGGTAACTCAAAATATCCAGGCCAGATCACATTACCAGTGAAAACATCTAATATTGTACTGAACACTCCAATGATGTCCTACAAATGCTTCTAAACTAGTTACCCATGATCCTTCAGAGCTGTTGAAATTCCTGATGGAAGGAGATGATGAAACAAGTTCTATTCACACTGTAACTCAGAGTAAATTAATTTTCTTCAGAAAACAAATACTTTTCCAAGTTTCCAAAGTTAGGCAAGAATCACTTTCTTTTCAATTTGTAGACTCAAGCTTCATTTAGAAATCACAAGGTGTTGCTCCAATCCCAGGGGCAAGATCAAAGTGTTCTAGTTCCAGCTCTGCAACACTGTGCAAGCTGCTTTAGTGTTTTATGCTTGTAAAGTGGGGAGGCAGTACGAGGGGCTTTCCACCTTTAAAATCCTACACTCTGTGACAAATTTTACACTATCTTTCAGTCACTGTGAAAAGGCCAACTATAAGAACAAAAAAAGGGTATTCTTCCCCTAACCATGCACAGTAAAAACTACCATTTATTGAGCACCTACTAAGTACCAGGCTCTTTCTATTTATTTCATTCAATCCTCACTACATTCTGAAGGGCAGGCATTTTCTTCATTTTACTTTGAGGGTAATTGCCATCTCTTGCCTGTTCAATTCAATCAGGAGTAGAAGGCCAGGAGCCAAATCAAGGTCTTACTCCAAAGCAAGATCTACTAAACCGTACTTTAAGACCTGCTGTCTCAAATACTAACATTAGACAAAATAAATGAAGATCATTTATTTTTGGAATATTAGGGGGTACACATGTTTTATTTACATACTTTATATAAAGACTGAGTCAACGTTATTTTGTAAGTGTGCCCAGAATAAACTTATTTTGAAGTTCAGTTGGTATGTAATGGAAATGAGAACATACGGCTTTTAAAAAAATTTTTTATTTGAGAATAATTTTAGATTACTAAATCTAAATCACTGCTCATCACAGTGAGCAGGTATGACTTTTAAAGGTAAACTCTGGATGGTAGTCACAGGCATAACTTTTGGGAATCTGAAGTTTTTAAAATAAACATTTTATTTGAGAATAATTTTAGATTACCATACAGTGACCAGATATGACATTTTAAAGGTAAACTTTGGGAAGTAGTCCCAGACATAACTTTGTTAATGGGAGCCTGAAGGGTTGTTGTTATGGTGATCCAGAAAGAACAAGGTCTTCTAAGAGGGCAGTTTGGCTGCCTCTTCACCAAGTAGGAAAGCGCTGGTGAAGCCAGATATCCTCTGTTGGTGTGTGTGAGTGAGCCATCTCCTGATGTTCAAATGAAGGAAAGAGTCACCAGCTTTAAACAATTCTAACCTAGATTTGTGTAGTTAATTCTAATATACAAATTTCCCAAATTCCCAGATAACACTGAAGTATGGGCATCAGCAATAAAATCTAGGCTTTAAAGAAAAAAACAACTGGCCTATACCAGCAACCTGACCCTATTCAAGATACTTCACTTCTCTAAGCCTCATTTCATTTGTAAAGTGAGGATACTATCACTTATTTTGCAGAGTAGTTAAGAATGAAAAAATGTGGACTATAAACAGCTCAGCACAGTACCTAGTATAAAGTAGGAGCTTAACTAAAGAAAGCTACCATTATTACCCTTCAGGCTCCGAGTAACAAGAAGTTATATCTAGGACTACTTCCCAAAGTTTACCTTTAAAACGTCATACCTGCTCACTGTGATGTAATCTAAAATCATTCTCAAATAAAACATTTTAAAAATTTCAGATTCCCAGTAACAAAGTTACGCTTATGACTACCATCCAAAGTTTACCTTTAAAACGTCATACTTGCTCACTGTGATGTCATCTAAAATTATTCTCAAATAAAACGTACTTTTTTTTTAAATCCATACGTCCTCAGTTCCATTACATACCAACGAAACTGGAACATAAGTTTATCCCAAGCACACTTACAACTTTGATTCAACCTGTACAAAATGTAAACAAAAACATGCGTACCCCCTGATATTAGAAAATTTAAATAAAGAAAAAATGCTCATCCTAAAATCAAAGCCCTAGTGAATACCGTTTTCAGTAGCTAACACTTTTTAAAAATGATATTGCAAATCGTTGTCATTCAGGCAGAAAGCAGGAGATGTCTCCCCAGAGCGCAAAAGATCACAACGATGTCCAACTAAGTGTTTGCCAAATGACACATATTTGGGTGAGCCCAGAAAGTTAGACGTAAATTAACACCAAGCAGAACGACCGTCCTTCCAGTTGATAGTACAGGAGCAGGTGGCTTTGTGCCCCAAAGAATATCGTTTTATTCTCACCCCACATACTCTCGCCAACAGCTGGGTTTTAAACCTTGCAGTCTTCCCCAAAGCCCAAGTTTCAGACTACAAGGGAGGGAGCAGAGCTTCACTGGACTCCTCTCGGCCAGTGGAGACCCAGCCGAAAGACAAGGGAGGAGTCGCGGCCCTGAGGGGCGTGGGAGACAGGTCGGGCCACCTCTGCCCCGAGTCCTGCCCTCCCCGGGCCGTACCGCTCGCGGATCACTCTCCTCACCCTGAGCTGCGGGGCTAGGGGGCTGCGGGGCGCGGCTGCTGTCAGCCCGTCCGAGCCGTCGCGGCGGGGAGCGCGCTGGGGGCGTGAAGGAGTAACTGGGAGATTTAAGGCGAGGAAAGAAGGCAAACGGGAAGGCGGCACGGGGATCCCCAATGCACGAGGAGGCGCGAGAGGTGACCTCTGGCCTCCCCAGCTTCCCGTCCCGCCCGGACCCTTCCCAAGTCCCAGACCAGCCGGTCCTCTCACCGTCTCAGCTTCTGTGTGCTGGGGTCCGGCACTCTGACCCCCCATTACCCCACGGAGGAAATTCATCTTGCAGCTCAGCCACCGGCTTTACCGGCCCTTTAGGGGAAGAAAACAAGACCACTTCCCCCGCCCTCCGCAGGGCCTGGCTCCCAACCCCGTGCTCTGCACTCCCCGGCCGCCGCCACCACTGCCTCCAGCTCGGCGGCGGCTCCAGCCCCTTAAGGCCGGAAACAGCCGCCACCGCTGGACAAGGTGCGCATGCGCGGGGACGTGGCATTACGTGGCGGCTCCAAGGGCGAAGGCAAAAGGGGAGAGAAGCCGAGAGGAACCCCGTCGCCAGGTTCCGCCGCAGGCCCCGCCCACCACGCAGGTCCCGCCTCCTGCCGCAGAGACACGCCTCCTGCTCCCGCCCTCGCGGATCTTTCCGGCTGGCCGCTGCCACCCACGTGGTAGAAGCCGGGCCCTGCGGACTGAAGAGGATCTGGTTAGACTGCGCGTTTCGGCTTGCACGGTTGTTGCCGAAAGGAACTTACTGCAAGCTATTGCCAGATCTGGGTTCTTACTTTGTTAAGTCGAAAGTGAGATTTTACTTCGTCCTACGTGACAGGTAAGGGGTCCCATTCCCTGGGAAGGTTCGTTTGGTCGTGCGGTTTAGCAGTAAGAGCGTCGTGGCCTTCTGAGCCCCATAAATTGCATCTCTTCGCAGGGCTTTGTTTGGTGGCAAAAAGGGTGCTAGAGACCCTTCCTTCCACGGCCACTGGGGGGCGTGTTTCTCAGCTTTTGCTCGTCAAACCTGCTAAAAGGAATTCCTATATCTAAACACCAGTACTCGAGAGTGCGAGGAGGAAACCCAGGGAACCCTGCGTACAGCTTACATGGTTCTGCAGCGTCACTTGGGCAAAGACTTAACATTGTTATTAATTTTAAGCCCCTGTATTTTCAGTTTTTTTAAACATACAAAAATATCATGTTTTCAAATCAGTGTGCCTGTTCATTTTAAAATGAGGTTGCCAGGTACACATGCTTCTGGAATAGTCTTGTAAATTTCCTAGGACTAAAAAGCACAGAATCTAGTTAGCTAACTGATTTATGAAACTCTCGTATTCCCACACAGATCTCAGATTCAGCACGTAAAATTGAACTCATCATCTTCCCCTGCCTCCCTTAAACGAGAAAAATAAATGTGCCCGTCTACTGTGTGCCCTGCTACGCTCAATAATACCACTATCCAAACAATTGCCTTAGCCAGGAGGAGGAACCTGGGAAGAATCCTAGTCTCTGACTTCCTTCCTACGTGTCCAGTCAATGATTAAGTCCTGTAATTGCTGTTTACAGAATGTTTCTCAGATAGGTCCTGTGCTGTCCATCCTTTCTGCCTGGGACATGTAGTTATGTTCTTAACATTTCTGAGGTTACAGCAAGGGCTTCCTAACTAGTTTGGCTGCATTTAGCCCTGGCTTCCCTCCAGTCCATTCTCCAGTCAACCCTTGGGTGAGCGTAACAACAACAAAACATCTGTTCACGTCAGTCCTCTTCCTACAATCCTCCAGTGGTTCCCCATTCTCTCCATAATAAAATCCAAACTCCTTAGTACGGTAAAAGGCCTGTTACGATCTGGCTCCTGCCTATCTTTCCAGCTCCTACCTCCCACACATACTCTGGGTATTTCTCTCATACCTAGATAGGCCTTTCCTCTTCCTCTTCTTTATGCAAACTCTTGCTAATTCCTTAAGATTCAATTCTGGCATCATTTCCTAAAAGCTTTCCCTGAAATCCAGATGCATATCTATATGCTAGCACTTTACATTTATTAATATTCTATGTGAGGGCACTCAATAAATGCTTGTTAAGCCAAACTGTTAAGGGCAAGACTGTATTCATTTTTGTATCTCTCTTGGTTACTACTGTTTCATAAAAGGTGATATTGATGGAAAAATAAATAAATCATTGAAAGAGTATATGAATATTATGCTGAGGAGGAGGGTTTTTTTTTTATCTGTAAAGTGAAATTATAGAGAACGTTAACAGGCTATGGTGAATATTCATTTCCTAGTCTTAGAGTTTAAGCCTGGGTGACTTGGAGACTGAATGGTGGGGTCACACTGCCAAAAATACTGCGTGCTAAGCATTGTCCTCTGCTTTAAAACTAGACACTTGACATTTTGCTTTATACATTTTCCATGGGGGCATTTTGTTGCAGCCTAAAAAAAGTAACTAGTAAATACTCAGCATATTTATTATCAAGTAATGTGTGCAGGCTAGGTGCAAAGACGCATGCCTGTAATCCTAGCACTCTGGGAGGTTGATGGCCTGAGCTCAGGAGTTTGAGACCAGCCTAAGCAAGAGCAAGACCCCATTTCTACTAAAAAATAGAAAAACTATCTGGGTGTTGTGGTAGGCATTGGTATTCCCAGCTACTTAGGAGACTGAGGCAAGAGGAACTATTGAGGTTACTGTGACCTATGACACCTTGGCACTCTACCCAGGAAAATGGAGACTCTGTATCAAAAAAAAAAAAAGAGAGAGAGAGAAGTAATATGTGCAAAGAACCTCACCCATTCCCTGAGCCCTACTCTTAGCCCTCCCGGTGCCCCACTTTACCCTATCATCATGGATGAGAGTTTGAGAGTCAGTGGACTCAGGGACATCTGCTACTGCTTTTACTTGCTATTAAAACGACAGTGCTTTGACATTTTAGCGTAGTTTTTTTACAGCATCAGCCTTGTCAGATGTCCTGATTTGTGTCTTCTCTAATGACACCCCCTGAGTAGGAGGCATGGACAGGTGGGTGATGAGAGTGGAGTCCCCAAGACTGGTTGCACCGTCTTGCCTCTGTTCTGATGTCTGAGAATGTGTCGAGCCACTCCTTACCTCCAGCCTCAGGAGGCAGAGAAGGTACGGTGGCTAATTTGTCCTCCAGTTAGTGTCTGAAAGAGGAGCAGAGGCATCGTCCGTGGACTGCTTATATCAGAAGAGGGTTACGTATTAATCCACTTGCATCGATTTTTGTAGAGAAGCATCAGGGCCTTTGTCTTTTTCCTGTCTGCTCCCCTTAATCATCTAGCAGAATTCATTTAACACGTAGGTGCTTAAGAACTGTTTGTTAATAAAAGAAGAGAAAAAAATGAAAAAGTTGTGACTGAACTTACACTCTTATATGTTGACTTCCATAAATCTAAGCATTTAGGATAAGAATGCCATGAATCATTAAAATACACAAAATCCAAAATTTTGAGTAAATAATGTTTTTGTTAAACCAAACCTGACAATAGAGCAACTGATAAAATCCATAGGCTTGAAATCCATTTTTTTAAATTGCTTTTTTCAGTGGCCCACTTTTCTAACTTTTCTTACTTCCTTTGGCAAAAACAATGAAATATTGCCCAATTTTTTTTTTTTTAAATTTTTTTTGCAGTTCTTGGCTGGGGCTGGGTTTGAACCCACCACCTCTGGCAGTGGGACCGGAGCCCTACTCCTTTGAGCCACAGGCGCCACCGTGCCCAATATTGTTTTTAAGTTGGGAATTGTTTTTAAGTAACAGGGTGGGGTGTTGTCTATACCTCCTTAGGAAGGAAAGCAGAAATGATAATTTGTGTTTCCAATGCATCCTGTACAGGTTTTTAAAGACTGGTTACTGGATAATCAGCCTCCAAAATTATTGCTAATATTATCAGTTACCCGAGCAACATGCAGCAAAATAAATTGATAATTATAAAGCAGCAGTCAAACACACGGTGTTCTTTCCTTGCCAGACTGTTCAAAGGGTTTTGTGTAAAATAACTTACTTAATCCTCACAACGGCTCTGTGATGGGATTGTGTCATTAGCCCTGTTTTGCAGACAGGCTCCTGGTCAGGAGGGCGACTTGACCAACGTTGGATAAGTAGAAAGTGGCACAGCTGAGGCACAAATTGGCAGTCTGGCTCCAAAGCCTGGGCTCTTAGGGACTGCATTATCCTGCATCTCTAGACTCAAGACAGTGATCCCGCGTTAGGTAGAAAGGTGGCCTAGGAGTCCATACTAATCTTGCCCTTCTCCTGAGCTCGTATCTTCTGAGGGTGGGGATGCTGCAGCCTTCAGGCCCCATGTGGCCCTCTAGATCCCTAACTGGCCCCTCATCTGAACCCAGACCTCACAGAACAAATTCCTTTATTGAAATCTCCTCATTCACTCCACTCCAGAGGTACTGACGTTGCTGAAACTTGCTACCCGCATCACCCTTGCATTTGTTCTCCCCATTTGGATGGTTGCTCCTCCACCCGTGTAGAGATCTGTTGCCCCGTCCCTTGTTTTTAATTAATACTTCTTTCTGTTTTGTGACAGCATCTTGCTGTGTTACCTAAACTGGTCTCAAAATCCTGGCCTCAAGTGACCCTCCTGCCTCAGCCTCTCGGGTAGCTGGGACTTGGGGTGTGGGCTACCGTAACTGGCTCATGCACCCTCGTGAAGTCTGCTCCCACGTTTCGTGGGTCTTTCCTGACTGTTGGAAGCTGCAGCCTCCTCGTAGTTCTTATTCTTCTCCGCAGCACTTCTCAGTATGGTGTTCTCTTATATGCACTATGTTGCCATGTTTCATTGGACTTTTTACGCCATCAAGGGTGCCTTAGAGAAAGAAAAAGAAAGTAAACCTGCCAGTTGTTAAGATGCCATCTACCAAAAGATTCACCTGAATTTCCTGAATGGGAAAAGAATGTAAATTGTAGGATTAATGAAATATTTATTTTACATCTTATTTTTTATCTCTTTCCCCCCAGCAGAATTCTAAACCCACGAAGGCAAGGCTTTAGTCCTTTTACAAATTGCTTTATCACCAGTGCTTAGCAGGACCCCTGACACCTGGTAGGCTCTTGGTAACTCTGTAATGATCGAATGGATTCCTCAAAGGAGGAAATTCCTGCTGTGGGATTATAAGCGTAGGAGTAAAAAATTCTTGCTTAAGCATTGCACAGCAGCCAGACTTCCTCAGTGGTATCTGAATCAGGGTCCTCAGAAAATTACATTAACATACTGATTTTAGTTTATGAATTTTTGATGGCCTTTAATAACTTACCGTATGTAAAGATAAACATCTGTGGAGGAAGTCTTATGCTTCTAGGATCAGGACTCAGCCCATGAGGGAGCCATCTCAGCTCACCTTTGAGTTGGACTACACTAATGCAGTGGTATTCTTATTTTTTTCTTTGGACAGGTAATACATTCACATAGTTAAAATAAGAAGTATAAGAGGGTATATATTAAAAGTTCTCCCTATCATTCCTTGGCCACCCAGACAATTAATATAAACAATTCCCTATGTCCTGCCAGATAACGCAAATATGTATATACGCCCTCTGTCTTCCTTTTAGCAACACAAAGAAATATAGTGCGTTGTCT